GCCTGGGGCTGCCTCTTGGCCCAAAGTGGGAAGTGTGCGGTGCTTCTCCCCCCCCCCCCCCTTTTTCCCTTTTGACAATATAGCGTGACTTCGGGTGCCCTAGGAGGCATTCAGTGGCTGGATTTTTAAAACCTGATTTTAGTCATCGTGACTAAGCTGAGTGGATAGTATCTATGCCAATGACCCAGGAAGGTGTAGGATGAGAGTAGACCCAGGCAGGTTAATCAGTAACTTAAGTTGTTGCTTAAAGAAGGGTTTGTTTGAATGTTTTTTTTAAGTTGTTATTTATTTATCTATTAAAGTTACAGGCTGCCCATCTCGTGGTTTGAGACAACTTGGGGTGGTTTTTAATAGCCTATTGGAAATATAAGCTGCTTTTTTGGGGGGGGAGGGATCTTTTTCAAGAGAGAAACAAAGAGCAGAAATATTTTGAGGAGCAAAACACTTGTTTTGTCATTCCTACCCATTCCTCCTTTGCAATTAGTATCCAGACTGGCTGCAGCCTTGGGAGAGATGCATTATTCTGGTTGGCCCCATTCCCATTGGTCTTTTCTAGAAGAGAGGGGGGGGAGAGGGGGGGAGAGAGAGGGAGATAAGGAGAGGCGGAGAGAAAGAAAGGGGAAGAGAGACAAGGAGAGGGGGGAGAGAGAGAGAACGCGGGAGAGGAGAGAGGGAGTGAGAGAAAGGGAGAGAGGGACAGAGGGAGAGACAGGGAGGAGGAAAAGAGAGAGAAACAGGGAGAGAGGAGGAGGAGGAGAGACGAGAGGGGGAGAGAGAAAGAGGAGAAGAGAGAGAAAGCGGGGAAAGAGGGAGGGAGAGATGGAGAGCGCGGAGGAGGAGACACGAGTGGGAGAGAAAGAGGAGGAGAGGGAAGAGAGAGAGAAAGCGGGAAAAGAGGGAAAGGGGGAGAGAGGGAAAGGAGAGAGAGAGAGAGAAAGTGGAGGGGGAGGGACAGAGGGAGAGACAGATAGGAAGAGGAGAAATGGAGAGAGAGAGGAGGAGGAGAGACAAGGAGAGAGGGAGAGAAAAAGAGGAGAAGAGAGGGAGAAAGTGGGAAAAGAGGGAAAAAGAGAGAAAGAAAGAGAAAGAGAGAAAAAGACCTTCCCAAAGTCCAAAAGAGGGTTTTGTGTCTGTGCATTGTAGAAGGAGACTCCATGCTATTCCATAGGAGCCAAAAATCCGGATTCTGCTTGCATTTTGTCAGATTATTACGTGGCATGCCTTTTTGGGAAAGGATAGCTCAGATCCTCAGTTCCAGCTGATGACAAATCTATACTCTTTGTTAGTCTGAGAAGGTGCTACTAGTGGCCTCCCAATAGTGCTGACTTGTATGTGACCCACTCTGCTGATTTGCAGTAGAGTTTTTATTTTTTAATGGAGAACTCTCTTTTTTCGTTGCTTCGTCTTAGGTGACACCTGCTGGTTAAAAGGAGTTATAATATCTCAATATAAATTGCTTTGCAGCACAAAGACGGTAGAATTTGGGGATGGGGAGTGTGCAGGCCCCACTTGACATTTTGAGTCCAACCCCCAACCCCCAAGATGGAGACCCTACACCATTTCTGACCGAGTCTCTTCTTGAAAGCCTCTAGGGATGAAGCTCCCACAACTTCTGAAGTCAACTTCTGTTCCATGGGTTGATTGTTCCCACCGTCAGAAAATTCCTCATTTCCTCCTTGGTCAGTTTCCATCCATTCTTCCTTGTCCGGTCTTCAGGGGCTTTGAAAAACAGTTTGACCTCCTCCTCTCTGGGGCAGCCCCTCAAATATTGGCAGATGGCTATCGTCTCTCCCCTGGTCCTTCTCTTCCCTAGACTAGCCAGGCCCAGTTCCTGCAACTGTCCATCAGATGTTTTAGCCTCTTGTCCCCTCATCATTCTGGTTGCTCTTCTCTGCCCTCTTTCTAGAGTCTCAACATATTTTGTTGAGTGTGGTGACCAAAACTGAATACAGTACTCTAGGTGTGGTCTTACTAAGGCCGCCTCCTCCTCCTCCTCCTCCTCCTCCTCCTCC